GGGGGGGGGGGGGGGGAGGCGGGAACGTAGGATCCTTTTTCATCATGAACTGTGCCTTCAAGTCGATTAGCTATGCGTATCAACCATTTTTTTCATTTTACTTCCATCCCCTCTTATCCTAGGCGCACATTAAAGCATCAAGAATTCTTCATGAAGGCGAAAAGGGTTGCGAACTGAGTGGCTTCTTGAAGAGATACCTGTCAGCCTTTTCAACATCTATAATATTGTGCTCTCCATTGCCGACAAACCAGTCACATATTACATCACACACTAAAATAGCAGAACTCTACTGCCAACATGAGAAAAAACTTATCTGATGGTTTTCCTCCAAATGTTATGTTATCAGTCCTTAATGGCTGTTATTACTTCTTATCACCAATCCCGACGAATCTCGCATCACTCTTCAGAGTCTCAATTTTTAAGCTGAAGTGCGATTCAGTGGTCCCTGTCTCATACAGCTCCTTTCAGCCCTGGTCAGCTGCGGTCACCTGACTATCATGCTGTCAGTTTCAGTCACAGAGCATCTACAATTCGATGACACTCCTGTGACATCCTTCGTGTTGACAGTGGAAATCACCGCAACACTCATCAGAAAGTCAAGGTTCCTGTTCAACACGAAAGGTGTCCAAGACCCAGTGACCCCGCCTTTCAGGCCACCTTATATGCCCTTACGATTCGCCATCAATCTTCCCATCAACTATCTAAGGTGAATTTACACTTCACATCACCCACACAAGTGCTCGGGCTCAACCGTCCATGTCCTTTATAAGTCCATATCGGTTGATATCACTTCCAATCACCTACCATCAGTATGTATGGGGTCTGCTTCCCGCCGACTTCTTCCAAATTCGAACACTCTAGGTCGAGAGAGACAGAAGCTACAATCATTTCGATCACAGCATTTACGGCTACTTCTACGCTTCTTACTTCCCCATCATGCGCCACAAAACGAAAGAAATACAGTCGATGGAACAAAAATTTCAAAATTGAAACTCTCGTCGCAGCCGCCCTTTGTCAAACCCATTTCCTCTTTTTTATTTTGAAGATTGGTTTTTGAAAAATGATGAGAGTGTTTTTCGTCACCGCTCAGTGAGACGGCAACAAACGCAACAGATAGCCTCGTGCGTTTCCATTTAAAAAAGGATGAACTTCTTTTTCTCAAAAGGGAAGGATCCCAAGTCGAAGTGGCCATTTGAAATGAGACCTATACTGCTAGACGTATTTTTCGATGCTGATTTCAAATCTGCATTCAAAATCTGCCAAACGATTCTCTGAGCGAAGTTATGGAGGTGGTCTCCGGAGAGCGCTCAACAGGGGAAGGCAAAAAGCCATGGTCGCCGGTAGCGCAGCAGTGGCGGCTTGGCGTGGAGGTAAGCGTGGCGCTTCACAGGCACGGGACCAAGGATCGGGTTTGACGGGCGGCGGTGTTTTTGCATTTTGCAGGACTTTTTCCTCCAAGGTGTAAAAAGCTTTTTATGTTAGCTTTCCGCCTTCGGCGACTTTCTAGTT